CTGCTGCTGCGCCGTCTCCAGCAGCAGCAACTGCAGAACTCCCGTTGCTGCTGTAGGCTAAGTCCTACAGCACCCACACAAACACCCATGTCACCAAACCTCAGCAGCAGCAGCAGCAGCAGCAGCAGCAGGACAGCGGGCAGCAGCAGCAGCAGCGGCAGCAACAAAAAGCAGCAGTACCAACAACAGGACAGATGACAGTAGCCTCAACAGCAAGAACAGAAGCAGCAGCAACATATGCGGCAGCAGCAACAGCAGGAGATGCAGCAGCAGCAACAGCAACAGCAGATGCAGCAACAGCTGCGACAGCAGCAGCTGCAACTGCAGCAGCAGCTAAAGCACCTCTGCGCTTGCTGCCTCCAGCAAATCCATAATATCTTCTCCCCACTCCACACGCAGCCACGAGTAGTCTTGCTGCTGCTCTTGCTGCTGCTGCTGCTGCTGCTGTGGAGGCTGTTGGTGTTGCTGCTGCTGTAGGTGCTGCTGTTGCTGAGGCTGCAGCTGCTGTTGCTGTTGCAGCTGCGGCTGTTGCTGTTGCTGCTGCCGCTGCCAAGGGCTACTTTGTTGCACTTGATGGCTGAGATGCTGCTGCTGCAGATGCTGCTGCTGTTGATGCTGCAGATGCTGCTGCTGCAGCGACTGCAATCCCCTTTGCTGCTGCGGCGGCAGCAGCACCTGCTGCTGCTGCTGCTGCAGCGTAGTTGCTGCGTGCCCCGTGGTTGCTGGGGTCCGCTGGATGGCGTGCTGCTGCAGCAGCCCTCGCTGTTGCTGCGGCTGTTGTAGCTGCTGCTGCTGTTGTAGCGGCTGTTGCTGCTGCAGCTGCTGCTGCTGCCGCATGTTGTGCCAATTCAGAACTTGCTGCTGCTGTCCGCTCCAACGAATCTGCTGCTGCTGCTGCTGCTGCTGCATCTGCTGTTGCTGCGGCTGTTGCTGCTGTCGCCTGTGAGGCACAGGTGGCGTTGATGGGTCCCCGCATAGAAGCATTGCCCCGACGCAGCTGCTGCTCTTGTTGCTGCAGCTGCTGCTGCTGGGGCTGCTGTTGCTGTAGCTGCTGCTGCGGTTGTTGCTGCCGCTGCTATAGTGGCCGCCACCGTTGCTGCTACTGCTGCTGCTGCTGCTGCTGCTGCCGCTAAGCTGCATACTGTAAGTATTCCAAACCCTTCGGGGCTTCACCCACTGCTGCTGAGCAGAAGGCGCTTGCTGCTGCTGCAGCCACGGACGGGTCAGCTGCTGCTGCTGCTGCGGCCGGAGCGGGCTGCTTTGCCGCTGCGCCAGCTGCTGCTGCTGCTGCTGCTGGGCTCGTTGCAGATGAAGCTGTGGCTGCTGCATTTGCTGCTGCTGCGGCTTCTGCAGCAAAGGCGACTTCTGCGCCTGCTGCTGCGGATGCAGGTTCTCCCAGAGTGGACTGCTGTGTCGCTGCTGCTGTTGCTGCTGCTGCTGTTGCTGCTGCTGCAGCTGCCGCTGCCACTGCGGCTGCTGTCGCTGCTGCTGCTGCTGCTGCTGCACACCGACTCCAGCAAA